GTCATGGAGGGTATATATGCCGGTCCGGGGGAAGGTCGAGTGTTAGATCCACAACTGCGCTAACATCGTAACGTTAGACGCGATTGGGTTCGAAATCCTTTGAGAAGCTCCTCCTCGTCGATACTTTGCAAACACAACAAAAATGGTGAGTACTAAAGCCATACGTGTGAAACAGAATACCATATTTAAATAAGACATGGATGTCCTCTATAGTTACATGTGCTACGGTGTCTCTTGTGCTAAGAAGTGGTTAATCAAATAATCAGTGGTTTTGTAGTGAACGCCTCTAACAGAAAGTTGACACACCAAGTTTCTGATTCTCATGAATTGCAGCAGTAAAAATAGAAAAAAAGATATTCCTTGCTGAGGCTCGTGTGTCTTGCAACCTCAAGCCAGGTGGCCTTCGTTCGAGGTTGAAAAGGGTGGGGGGGGGAGAAGGGATTAATTTCAATCACATTTTTAACGATGAAATTCTTGTTCAATTTTCGACTGTGTTGATGTGATTGATATATAATACTTACGTGGTACACGTGTTAAAACAAGAGATGTATTCAGCATACAGGTGTACAATTATGGAAGTTATTGTGGTAAAATTTATACAAAATATATGAAATTATCAATACTTAACAGTCATTAAAGTAGACAGGTAGTATAATACAGATAGATAGATTTATATACATGTAAAGAATATCACTATATACCTAGCTTATCTTTCCTGAAATGAAAGATCGAGAAAATCTTCTCCACAGACATTTCACCATATGCAAATGAAATCCAGCAGCGCAGATTATATATATAGCTTGGAATGTGATTTTGAATGTCACTTGTAAGGGATGAAGGTGCAAGACAATTATGCATTTTGATCTGATAATTGTAATTGATTGATAATTCATTTGATCTGAGTTTCGGCTTCGGGCGGTGTCAGTCTTATATGATGGCTTATTAACACTTAATAGGTGAAGACTGAGAAATTGTAATAGTTTAAATGTGTTTGATTATAATTCTATAGATAGGCTTGGTAGACAGGATAATCTTACGGACAAGTAGGCGAGGGATTAGGAAAGAAAATGAGAGAGGAAAGAAAGATGGAAATAAGGAAGAGAAATGACGAAATGAACAAACAAATTCCATTCCATCCGCATGCCCACCGCCTCCTGCTTCTCCCCACCACCACCTCTTCCTCCTCCTCCTCCTCCTCCACCACCACCACCTCTTCCTCCTCCTCCTCCTCCACCACCACCACCTCTTCCTCCTCCTCCTCCTCCTCCACCACCAACAGCCCTTCCTCCTCCTCCTCCACCACCACCACTTCCTCCACCTCCTCCTCCTAAAACTCCACCACCTCCTACTCCTCCTCCTTCTCCTCCTCCTTCTTCTTCTTCTTCTTCTTCTTCTTCTTCTTCTTCTTCTTCTTCTTCTTCTCCTCCTCCTCCTCCTCCTCCTCCTCCTCCTCCTCCTGGCAAGGACGCTGGTCCCGGGCCCTTTAACAGCAGGGCAGGACATTCCCTCATGGCCAGAGTGCTCGCATCCTTGTGCCGATAACGCCTTTGACTCATCCTTGTCTGTTCCTTCTCATTCTCCTTTCTGGTTCCTGTTCTTCTTTTTATCTCTTCTCCATTACTTTCTTCTGTTCCCCTTTTTTCTCCCTCGCCATTCTCTACCTTAGCACATTCTTTCTCACCTTCTTTCTCTCGATTCCCTCCCCTCTAGTCCCTCCTCCTCCCTTTCCATACCCCATCCTCTCCCTCCTCCCTTTCTCTTTCCATCCCTTCTCCTTTCTCCCTCCCCTCCCGTCTCCCATTCCCTCCCCTCTTATCCTCTCCCCTCCCTTCTCCCATTCCATTCCTTACCCTCCCCTCCCTTCCCTTCTCCCTTTCCCTTTCCTCCCCCCCCCTGCCCCATGGCGTGATACGGGCTCGCCCATTTGAATAATGTATTGCATCACATCCAATGACGTCATGGACTTTCTCGGAGTCTTTTGCTGAAGTGATAAAAGAGGACTGCTGTGCTTGTGTTTGTATACAATGTACACACACACACACACATATATATATATATATATATATATATATATATATATATATATATATATATATATATATATAGACACACATACACACACACACACACATACAGCCATACATATATATATATATATATATATATATATATATATATATATATATATATATATATATATATACATATATATATATGTGTATGTATATATATATATACACACATATATATACATATATATATATATATACATATATATATATATATATATATATATATATATATATATATATATATATATATATATATATACATATATATATATATATATATATATATATATATATATATATATATATATATATATATATATATATATATACATATATATACATACACACACACACATATATATGTGTGTGTTTAAAAATAAATAAATAAATAGATATATATATATACATATATATATATATATATATAT